TCTTAGATCCTCTTCACATTAAATATATTAAGTTTGTCATTCCGTTTTTAACACCTCGAAATACACATTTTAGACCCCACAAAGTATATATATTCTTGATCAGCATAAAATTCTATGTCGATATAACAATGTCCGTCAATCTGTTTGTCTATCCGTCTCTGGAAATCACTCTAACTCTAGCAGTTTTTGATCATTTTGGTAATTTTTGTGCCATTATTAAAAAACCTTCGTTGATTTTCTTTAAGAATTTCGGGAAAATTTTAGCATTTGGGAAGTTTTATTAATTGTTTGGTAAAACTTCATATTAGATCCTGCTGTTGGCATACATCTTTTTAAGAATTCTTGGAAATTTTGGTCGATTTTAATTCTTTTCTAGAAGAAATTGGTTTCTCTTGCGAAGAGTTAGGTCGGGTTCGTTTAAAATTGAAGTCGTTGAATATTTTTGCCTAATTTTAAATAAAATTGTTCGATTTTGATTCTTTTCTAGAAGAAATTGGTTTCTCTCGTGAAGAATTAGGTCGCCTTTTGTTGAAATTTGGAATCTTTTCATCTTTTTGTCGGAATTTGTGCAAAATTTGTTTGATATTTATTCTTTTCCAGAAGAAATTGGTTTCTCTCGAAAAGAATAAAATCATTTGGTAAAACTAAATTGAATATTTCTGATCGCCTACGGAAATTCTTCGTTAACATTTCGAGTTTCTCTTCAAAGAAAATTAAAAAAAAAAAAAAACAATTTCTTGTGAACTATTTGATTGTTGTTGCTTACTTAACTAAAACTTTTAAATATGTCGTATACTCCATTGGACAGCTTCATCCGGGTTTCGGATACCTTCGTCAGGTTCGTGGAACAGGTTCGGGCAATGAAACCAGAGGAAATTAACCTCTGTGCATTAGAAGTTCGTAGCGCCGAGCTAGAAAAATATTGGAAAAAGACCCAGGATGTCTTCGATACATGTATGCTCTTCTTGGAAACGTCTGCGGACTCCACTAAAGAAATGATCGAGTCCGCTGATCATAAATATGAGGTCGTGCACCAGGAATATATGAAATGCTTAACAGATATAAATAATAGGTTGTTAGAATTTCGAGGGTCGAGAAAATCGCTGAACTCCTCTCGTAGTAGTTCAGTAGTCTCACTTTTGCAGCATCCCTGTAATACTCCTTAAGGGTTACAGTCTTCTGATGTAGCTTTAGAGATAGCGAATTCTGCTACATATACTTCTCAGGAAGTAGGTAAGACTAGCTCCCCAATGTCGAATATTGGGAATCCTAGTGTTCATCAGAGTTTAATTGATCCTCCGAATAATGACATTATGCACAGTTTAGCACTTCCTCCGTGTGATATAGATGTCTTCGAAGGAGATTTTCAATCTTGGCCCACGTTTAGAGACCTTTTTAGCACGGTGTACATAAATAATTCGCGTTTAAGCGATATAGAGCGTCTTTGCCATCTTACGCGCAAAACTAGTGGATAGGCTCGAGAAATTATCTCGAGATTTCCGTTGACTCAACGTAGTTTCGATCTTGCGTGGAAAGCTTTAAAAGATAATTATGACAATCCTCGGTAACTTGTCCACAACCAATTTAAAATTCTTTTCGCTTTGCCAATATTACAAAATGAATCCGCATCGGGATTAAAAACCCTACAACGTGGAATTAATGCTTGTTTGTCGGCGATGTCCATCTATGACATCCGTACTGAAAATTGGGACCCATTTTTGGTTTTCTTGTGTCTTCAGCGGTTACCAAAAATTACGCAAACGTTGTGGGAACAAAGCGTAAAAGACAAATCGGCAATATCAGTATGGATAGATTTGGATAGCTTCTTGACTGAAAGGATTCGAACTTTAATGTGCTTGCATGATATGAGGGGAAGTGAACAGGCAACAAAATCTGTTGTAAAAAAGGTACAAACACATATGACAAAATCGAAGTCATCGGATAATTTCAAATCCCCCCAAAATAGCTCTTGTATTCTTTGCCCGCAACATAATCATCTGCTTTTTGAATGTCCTCGTTTCAAAAATATGTCGATCTCTACAAGATTTTCTATCGTTAAGCGTCGTCGCCTATGTGTGAATTGTCTGAGAAATGGTCACGAGGTTCAAAATTGTATTAGCAAACATCGGTGTTCTAAATGTGGTAGAACACATCACTCATTGTTGCATAGAACTGATTCTTCGCCTTCTAAATCATCTTTGGCCCCAACCTCTCCTAATAGAAATAGTAATAACGTTTTAAATCGTGCTCAAAGTTCTTCGGTCGATCCAGCAGTTCCTGCTACATCGACTAATGGTAATTCCCGACAAGTATTTCACACGGCACAAAATAAATCTGTGCTTTTAGGAACCGCAATGGTGAACTTAATTCATTGTGGAATTTCTTACCCAGCTAGGGCGTTGATAGACCCTGCTTCTGAATCGTCCTTTTTATCTGACCGGCTCCAGAACCGTCTAAAACTCCCAATTTCTTCAACCAATATTAGTATTTCGGGCGTTAATTGTGCAATTTCGGCACATGGGCCGATTCCATCGTCGGTAATTCAAACCTTTGCTACCACAATAAATGTTGAAGAAGAGGATTCGCTAAACAAAACTTTGCTTCGATTCTGGAAGTTAGAAGAGCTTCCTAAACGAAAAATGTTGTCCCCCTCTGATCGTCTTTGTGAGGAAAACTATGTCCGAACTACGCATAGATTATCTGACGGTAGATACATGGTAACCTTGCCCATACGAACTGACTTTTCTTTGCCATCTTACGCGCAAAACTAGTGGATAGGCTCGAGAAATTATCTCGAGATTTCCGTTGACTCACCGTAGTTTCGATCTTGGGTGGAAAGCTTTAAAAGATAATTATGACAATCCTCGGTAACTTGTCCACAACCAATTTAAAATTCTTTTCGCTTTGCCAATATTACAAAATGAATCCGCATCGGAATTAAAAACCCTACAACGTGGAATTAATGCTTGTTTGTCGGCGATGTCCATCTATGACATCCGTACTGAAAATTGGGACCCATTTTTGGTTTTCTTGTGTCTTCAGCGGTTACCAAAAATTACGCAAACGTTGTGGGAACAAAGCGTAAAAGACAAATCGGCAATATCAGTATGGATAGATTTGGATAGCTTCTTGACTGAAAGGATTCGAACTTTAATGTGCTTGCATGATATGAGGGGAAGTGAACAGGCAAATTCGAGTATTCAAATTCGTGTTTAACTCGGACATAACCCAAATGTATCGGCAGATACGAGTAGACCCTCGGCACACTCTGCTTCAAAAAATTCTCTATAGGGACTCGCCAACAAAGCCAATTCAAGATTTTGAATTGCAAACTGTGACTTTCGGCTTGAATTGCGCTTCATACATAGCTATTAGAACTCTTTTGCAACTCGCGGAGGAAATAGCAAATGAATTCCCTTTGGCAGCGCATATATTGCGAAAATCCATGTATGTGGATGATGTTTTGGCCGGTGCTCATGATCTTGAGATAGCGGTAACAGCTAGGGATCAACTTATTTCGGCACTTTCATCGGCGAAGTTTGAGCTTAGAAAATGGACAGCCAATGATAAAAATATTTTGAACTGTTTCCCCCCAGAACATTTGGTAGATGCGCAATTGTTGTCATTTGTAGAAGCTAGTAGTTCTAAACCTCTTGGTATAAGGTGGAATGCTAGGTTAGATTCGTTTTATTTTGATGTCAAGTCTATAGAGAAAAAATCGAGTTATACAAAGAGGGAAGTTCTTTCGGCAATAGCTAAGTTGTTTGACCCTGTCGACTGGTTAGGGCCAGTTATTGTCAAGGCAAAAATTAGATCAAATCGGTTGGGACGACCCCCTTGTAGAAACTACTTACTCGGAATGGCGTAAATTTGTTGAATCCTACCATGAAGTCAATTGAATACAAATTCCTCGTTGGGTCCAATATACCCCCCAATGTTCGGGGGTAGTATATATTCGAGTTGAAGTGCCAGGTCAAAATGTGTTCGTGCATTTATTGTCTAGTAAGACCAAAGTGGCCCCAATAAAATCAATATCACTTCCTCGCTTAGAGCTTTGTGGCGCAGTCTTAGCTTCGGAACTTTTGAAAGTTATAGTGAGGGAGATCGATATAAAATTTCGTCAAGTATATTGTTGGACGGATTCTACTATTGTTTTATCATGGCTTCGAAAAACACCTTCAACTTGGACTACATTTGTTGCCAATAGGGTTGGCAGTATTCAAGAAAATGTTGGCAACCATAATTGGTATCACGTTCGGTCAGAAGATAATCCTGCGGACCTTGGAAGTCGAGGTGTAACCCCTGCAGAGTTAGCTTTTAGCTCTCTTTGGTGGCATGGGCCAGACTGGCTCAGCCAAGATAAATCGAGTTGGTCTATTCGAGATTTAACTCCGCTGGAGACTGACATAGAAGGGCGTTCGGTACAATGTCATTTCTCATTCTTTTCGTCAACCTTTACAGATATTTTGGACAGATATTCGTCATTTGTAAAAGGTATTCGGGCTGTCGCTAACATGCTTAGATTTTTGCGACAAACACATTCTCGGTATCGAGGTAAATATTATTACTCTCAGAAAAAGATTACAACTTCGGAATTTAATGAGGTTCGCTTACGGTTGATAGTTATCACTCAAAAGGTCCACTTCGCTAAAGAGTACAAGGATTTGATGGATAAAAAACCCGTGGCACACTCGAGTCATTTAGCTCCACTTAATCCAATGCTTGTGGAAAATGGTGTCATGTGCCTGAATGGTCGTTTGGCGCGGTCACCCACACTTTCACCCTCAGAACGTTTTCCAATAATTCTGCCATATAAAAGTAGGTTCGCTAGACTTTTGGTGGAATATATTCACGTCAAGAGTGTTCACGGAGGAACACAGCTGATGCTTCGTATCTTGAGAATGGAATACTGGATTCCCAGAGTAAAACAATTGATTCGCTTTGTCATTCGTCATTGTAAGGTATGCATTTTAGATAAATAGAAACACTGTAGTCAAATAATGGCCGCTCTTCCCCCGGAAAGAACAATTATCGATAGGGCGTTTACTACAACTGGTGTGGACTTTGCTGGTCCCTTTGAGATAAAATCGTTTTGGGGTCGGGCTTGCAAAATTACAAAAGGATATGTTTGTGTATTCGTATGCTTCTCGACCAAGGCTATTCATTTGGAGGCAGTATCGGATTTGTCCACAGCCAGTTTTATAGCCGCATTACATCGCTTTATAGCGCGTCGAGGTTGTCCAGGTACTATATTTTCGGACAATGGCACAAATTTCGTAGGAGCTTCACGTGAAATTGACCGGAATTATAGTCGTTTCATTCGTGAAAGTTGTGATTCAGCATCAGAGGCTCTTGTTCAACAGGGTGTCGTATGGAAATTCATTCCAGCTGGTGCACCACATATGGGTGGTCTATCGGAAGCCGGAGTGAAAAGTTTTAAGCAACATTTCCGAAAACATTGTCGAAATCTTCGGTTTACCTTTGAAGAAATGGCGACAGTATTAGCTCGCATAGAGGCTTGTTTGAATTCGCGGCCGCTTTGTCCTATGTCAGACGATTCGGGTGAATTAGTTTCCTTAACACCCTGTCACTTTCTTATTGGTGCGCCTTTACTAGCTCCTCCCGAACCCATGATTAATGAATCACCGATCTCGCTCGTGAATCGGTTTAGAAAAGTCCAAGCGCTCGCTCATCAATTTTGTATCAGATGAAAGGAGGAATATCTAAAAAATTTGCATATGCGGTACAAGTGGAAGTACCCTGAAAGGGAAGTAGATAGGGGTGATTTAGTCGTCGTTCGACAAGAAAATCTACCACCGACCTCATGGAAGTTAGGTCGTGTTATAAATGTTTATCCCGGTGAAGACGGACATGTTCGTGTCGTGGACGTTCGTACGACAAATGGCGTTGTAAAGCGGCCGATAGCTAAGTTGGTCATTCTGACCGACCAATCGGCGAATGAAGAAAATTAAACCATTTTTTCTTCTTAGTATAATGGATGCCAACAATATGTTTGAAATCGAACTCCTCTCGAAGACCGACACCGTATTAGAGAGAGCGGACGAGATATCTGGTACCAAAAGGCGTACTACATCCGAAGCTGTTGAGGAACTGGTTAAACCTATTGCGGCCGTAAAATTGTCGGAGTCGGTAACAGAATCCGTAACTGCGGATTCAGCGCCGTTGCCTACCTCCCAATTATTGGAAATACATCAGAGTCCGTAACTGCGGGCTCCCCGGGCACAGCAATCGTGAATCATAATGGGTGTCGGGTTTGCACTCGCCGGCATGCTCTTGGTACATGCAAAGAATTTGTTGCTATGTCTGTAGAAGCCCGTATACAGGTTGTCATAACACATCGGGACTGCACACGATGTCTCACAAAAGGACACCAACGGAGGGAGTGCCATAGTAAGAAGGTCTGCTATAGATGTGGAGGTGATCATCACTACCTGTTGCACGATGATCCTAAGGATCACCATTATTCGTCCCGGAGTCGAAAAACTACAAGACCCCGTCCGTACCCAAGTTCCGAGTCTCGTCCGAACGTCAGGTCTGGTTCACATCCGTCCGTACATACCACACCGGCTGGTTGTCACACTGCTTCTCCCCTTAACCTATTATCTCTACAATAGGTGGCGACACTATCACCAAATTTAGTGGTGAGAATTCATTGTGTCGGACCATCATACCCAGTTCGGTCAGTGTTAGACCCATGCGCTGTCCAAAGTCAAATATGTGCCTCAATGGTTGACCACTTAAGACTACCTACCTCCAATTTGGATGGAGTTCGTTTTTGCCGATTTTCGGCCACTTCAGTTTATGATCCGACACAGTCGATCATTGTTTCGGCTCGAGTGACAGATCTTCGCCACGTTTTCACGCCGACGGAACCAATTTCCGAAAAACTGAAGGAGTCGTTCCTAGGTTTACCCCTAGCAGATCCCTCCTTTTACCGACCAAGTCGTGTTGCTTTAGTCCTAGGTCCTGATGTGTATGCTAAAGTCGTCACCAGTCGAGTCTCTCCAGGATTGCCTATCGCCCATTATACAATATTTGGATGGGTATTATCGGGTGTTTGTTACACGTAACCGTAGTATATGTTATTGAATTTGAAAATATTGAAAAAATTAAATTTAATTGAAATTAACAGCTCACAACTGCACTGCCCTCCTTTCCTTTGCTATCATCATTTGTTATATATTTATATATCTGTAAAATGTTATTATGTTGGTTGTGTTACAACATTTATAATGTTGCAAGGGGGTGGCCAATGTTTAATTTAGAATCGTAAGTTCATTAATTTCCATTGTCGTCTCCACATTCATTGTGTTTGAGACTTTATCGAATGCTATACTCGTTACAATCTGCATATTCCCTTTTGTTACAACATTGAACTGTCAAATGCAGATTCTAACGAGTATAAATTTGCCGCCGACGCCTCTTTTCGAAATTATAAAAGGTCACTCTTGTTCTCGCTGCCAAACCAACCAACAGTTAATATGTCTTACACCTTTTTCTAATTTATTAATTTATCCCAATAAATCTACCATACTTTTTTTGAATTTAAAATTAAAACGTTCGTGTTTTTATTTTATTTATTTTACACGCAATTTCGGCTGTAACAGTATCAAAGCACAAAAAATTGGCAAAATTGATACTTTAGTGGCACAACGGTCACGCTGATTGAGATGCGGTAAATTGTGCTGAGTTGTGCTCACTTAGCACAATTTTTCGTCCATACATAACGAATTTCCACCTTTACTCGTTACTCGCTAAAAATTAAAAAAAATGTATAACTTTTGAATATATGGAATTTTTGAAATCTGCAAGTTGTGGTGAATTGTGCTCAGATATGGAAAATCTGCAAGTTGTGCTGGTTTGTGCTAACCTAGTACAATTTTTCGTCCATACATTGGAAATTTGTATTTCCACTCGTTACTAGTAAAAATTGGAAAAAATACATACATAACAACAATTGCTGTAATTGTTGTAAAAATCCAAATGCGGTAAATTGTTCTGAGTTGTGCTAACCTAGCACCATTTTTCGTCCATGCATAACGAACTTCCACCTTTACTCGTTACAAGCTAAAAATTAAAAAAAAAATGGAACTTTTGAATATATGGAATTTTTGAAATCTGCAAGTTGTGGTGAATTGTGCTCAGATATGGAAAATCTGCAAGTTGTGCTTGTTTGTGCTAACCTAGTACAATTTTCCGTCCATACATTGAAAATTTGTATTTCCTTAAGTTACTAGTTAAAATTGAAAAATATACATGTATAAAGAAAAATTACATTGGAATTTTGAATCTCTACTCGTTACTCGTTAAAATTGAAAAAAATACATACATAACGAAAATTGCTGTAATTTTTGTAAAAATCCAAATATAGAGATGCGTAAATTGTGCTGAGTTGTGCTCACTTAGAACAATTTTTCGCCCATACATATCGAATTCCCGGCTTTACTCGTTACTCGCTAAAAATTAAAAAAAAATTAACTTTTGAATATGTGGAATTTTTTAAATCTGCAAGTTGTGCTGAATTGTGCTCAGATATCGAAAAACTAAAAGTTGTGCTGATTTGTGCTAACCTAGCACAATTTTTCGTCCATACATTGAAAATTTGTATTTTCACTAGTTACTAGTTAAAATTGGAAAAAATACATATATAACAAAAAACTGCTGTAATTTTTATAAAAATTCAAATATCGAGATTCTGTAAACTGTGCTGAGTTGTGCTCACTTAGCACAATTTTTTGTATAACTTTTGTAATATGTGAAATTTTTGATATCTGCAAGTTGTGCTGAATTGTGCTCACCTAGCACAATTTTTCGTCCATACATTGGAAATTTGTATCACAACCTGTTACTCGTTATAATCATAAATATCAAAATCGCATATTTAGAAGCAAGATATCGAAAAACTAAAAGTTGTGCTGATTTGTGCTAACCTAGCACAATTGTCCTTCTATATTACATTGGAATTTTGAATCTTTACTCGTTACTCGTTAAAATTGAAAAAAAAATACATACTTAACGAAAATTGCTGTAATTTTTGTAAAAATTCATATATAGAAATGCGGTTAATTGTGCTGTTTACTCGCTAAAAATTAAAAAAAAAAAATGTATAACTTTTGAATATATGGAATTTTTGAAATCTGCAAGTTGTGGTGAATTGTGCTCAGATATGGAAAATCTGCAAGTTGTGCTGGTTTGTGCTAACCTAGTACAATTTTCCGTCCATACATTGAAATTTTGTATTTCCACTCGTTACTAGTGGGTAATGCGGTAAATTGTTCTGAGTTGTGCTAACCTAGCACCATTTTTCGTCCATGCATAACGAACTTCCACCTTTACTCGTTACAAGCTAAAAATTAAAAAAAATTGGAACTTTTGAATATATGGAATTTTTGAAATCTGCAAGTTGTGGTGAATTGTGCTCAGATATGGAAAATCTGCAAGTTGTGCTTGTTTGTGCTAACCTAGTACAATTTTCCGTCCATACATTGAAAATTTGTATTTCCTTAAGTTACTAGTTAAAATTGAAAAATATACATGTATAAAGAAAAATTACATTGGAATTTTGAATCTCTACTCGTTACTCGTTAAAATTGAAAAAAAATACATACATAACGAAAATTGCTGTAATTTTTGTAAAAATCCAAATATAGAGATGCGTAAATTGTGCTGAGTTGTGCTCACTTAGAACAATTTTTCGCCCATACATATCGAATTCCCGGCTTTACTCGTTACTCGCTAAAAATTAAAAAAAATTTAACTTTTGAATATGTGGAATTTTTTAAATCTGCAAGTTGTGCTGAATTGTGCTCAGATATCGAAAAACTAAAAGTTGTGCTGATTTGTGCTAACCTAGCACAATTTTTCGTCCATACATTGAAAATTTGTATTTTCACTAGTTACTAGTTAAAATTGGAAAAAATACATATATAACAAAAAACTGCTGTGATTTTTATAAAAATTCAAATATCGAAATGCTGTAAACTGTGCTGAGTTGTGCTCACTTAGCACAATTTTTTGTATAACTTTTGTAATATGTGAAATTTTTGATATCTGCAAGTTGTGCTGAATTGTGCTCACCTAGCACAATTTTTCGTCCATACATTGGAAATTTGTATCACAACCTGTTACTCGTTATAATCATAAATATCAAAATCGCATATTTAGAAACAAGATATCGAAAAACTAAAAGTTGTGCTGATTTGTGCTAACCTAGCACAATTGTCCTTCTATATTACATTGGAATTTTGAATCTTTACTCGTTACTCGTTAAAATTGAAGAAAAAAATACATACTTAACGAAAATTGCTGTAACTTTTGTAAACATTCATATATAGAAATGCGGTAAATTGTGCTGAGTTGTGCTCACCTAGCACAATTTTTTGTCCATACATAACGAATTTCCACCTTTACACGTTACTCGCTTAAAATTGAAAAAGTTGTGCTGACTTGTGCTAGTCTAGCACAATTTTTCGTCCATATATTGGAAATTTGTATTTCCACTCGTTACTAGTTAAAATTAAAAAAATACATATATAACGAAAAATTGCTGTAATTTTTGTAAAAATTCAAATATAGGGATGCGGTAAATTGTGCTGAGTTGTACATAACGAATTTCCAACTTCACTCGATACTCGCTAAAAATTAAAAAAAAATGTATAACTTTTGTAATATGTGGTATTATTTAAATCTGCAAAAAGTACTGCATTGTGTTCACGTATTTTTCGTCCATACATTGAAAATTTGTATCTCTACTCGTTACCCGTTAAAATCATAAAAATCAAAATCGCATATTTTGAAACAAGATATAGAAAAACTAAAAGTTGTGCTGATTTGTGCTAAACTAGCACAATTTTTCGTCCATACATTGGAAATTTGTATTTCCACTCGTTACTACCTAAAATTGGAAGAAATACACATTTAAAGAAAAATTACTGAAATTTTTGTAAAAAATCAAATATCGAGATGCGGTAAATTTTGCTGCGTTGTGCTCACTTAGCACAATTTTTCGTCCATGCATCACGAATTTCCACCTTTACTCGTTACTCGCTAAAATTTAAAAAGATGTGTAACCTTTGTAATATGTGGAATTTTTGATAAATATATAACGAAAACTGCTGTAATTTTTGTAAAAATTCAAATATCGAGATGCAGTACATCGTGATGCGGTAAATTGTGCTGAGTTGTGCTCACTTTTGTAACTTTTATAATATGTGGAATTTTTGATATCTGTAAGTTGTGCTGAATTGTGCTCACCTAGCACAATTGTTCGTCCATACATAACGAATTTCCACCTTTACTCGTTACTAAGTAAAAATAAATAATTGTATGACTCCTGTAATTTATGGAATCTGGAAAAATTGCTGTAATTGGTTAAAATATCGAGATGCGGTAAATTGTGCTGAATTGTGCTCACCTAGCACAATTCTTCGTCCATACATTGGAAATTTATATTTCCACCAGTTACTACTTAAAATTAAAAAAGTACATATATAAAGAAAAATTACTGACATTTTTCTAAAAATTCAAATAACGAGATGGGGTAAATTGTCCTGAGTTTTGCTCACTTAGCAAAATTTTTCGTCCATACATAACGAATTTCCACCTTTACTCGTTACTCGCTAAAAATTAAAAAAATTTAAATTTTGAATATGTCCATACATTGGAAATTTGTATCTCTACTCGTTACTCGTTAAAATCGTAAAAATCGAAATCGCATAATTAGAAACAAGATAT